AAACCCCGTCTCTACTAAAAATAAAAAATTAGCTGGGCGTGGTGGCGAGCACCTGTAGTCCCAGCTACTCGGGAGGCTGAGGCAGGAGAATGGCGTGAACCCAGGAGGCGGAGCTTGCAGTGAGCCGAGATCACGTCACTGCACTCCAGCCTGGGCGACAGAGCAAGACTCTGTCTCAAAAAATAAATAAATAAATAAAAATAAATAAAACAGGGTCTTGCAGCCAGGCGGAGTGGCTCACACCTGTAATCCCACACTTTGAGTGGCCGAGGCGGATGGATCATTTGAAGTCAGGACTTCGAGACCAACCTGGATCACATGGTGAAACCCCGTCTCTACTAAAAATACAAAAATTAGCCGAGTGTGGTGGCGGGTGCCTGTAACCCCAGCTACTCGGGAGGCCGAGGCAGGAGAATCACCTGAACCCAGGAGGTGGAGGCTGTAGTGAGCTGAGATCATGCCACTGCATTCCAGCCCAGGCGACAGAGCGAGACCCTGTCTCAAAAAAAGGAAAAAAAAAAAAAAAAGAACAAAGACAGGATCTCGCTGTGTTGCCCAATCTATGGCGCAGCAGTGCGATCTCAGCTCACTGCATCCTTGGACCTCCTGGGCTCCAGTGATCCCCCTGCCTCGGCCTCCTGAAGTGCTGGGATGACAGGCGTGAGCCACTGTGCCCGGCCTGTGGGCTGGGATGACAGGTGTGAGCCACCGCACCCAGCCCGTGGGCAGGATTTCACCAGTGGTTTTATAAACACTGTGGAGTGGACAGTAAGGGGGGAGGTACGGGGCGGGGGACAGATAGTGCCATCACTGCCCTAGCGCTCTCGTCCCCTCCTGTGACACAGCCCCTGAGTGTGCTGTCGGCAGGGCGGCAGCTCGGGAGAGAATGACCTAGAAAAACAGCGCTGGGAGGGAGCTTGCTGGAGGGAAGGGTTGCCTTCCCTGTAAAATGTCCAGGTTGGGATTAAACACGATTCTGGGGAGCGGGGGAGGGGGCCATGCCCCCTCTCTCGCTCCCTCCCTCCCTCCCTCAAGTTCCCTATGTTCCTAAGCTGGGGGCAGGAGGACCAAGGCCTCCTGGAAACCAGAGACCCCTCGCTTTTCTCTCGGTGGGACCGCATTCTCGCCTGACACCTTCCTTCCTGCCAAGCTCCCTGCTGTTCCATGCGGCCTGTGAACACCCAGTTTTGGCATCTGTATATACGTGTCCGTGTCCACCTAAATCCAGAATTCAGTTTGGCGTTTCACTTTATGTATTTATTTATTCAGACGGAGTTTCCCCTCTTGTCGCCCAGGCTGGAGTGCAGTGGCGCGATCTCGGCTCACCGCAACCTCCGCCTCCCGGGTTCAAGCGATTCTCCTGCCTCAGCCTCCCAAGGAGCTGGGATTACAGGTGCCCATCACCACGCCCGGCTAATTTTTGTATTTTTTTTTAGTAGAGACAGGGTTTCTCCATGTTGGTCAGGCTGCTCTCGAACTCCTGGCCTCAAGTGATCCGCCCGCCTCGGTCTCCCGAAGTTCCGGGATGACGGGCGTGAGCCACCGCCCCTGGCAAGAGGAGCTTCTTCTCTCACAGTTCTGGAGTCTGGAAGTCCAAGCTCAGGCAGGTCCAACTTCCTTTGGGGGCTTTCGGGGAGACCCTTTCTGACTCTTCCAGCTTCCAGTGGTAGCTGGCCATCCCTGGTGTCACTTGACTTGCGGATGAATCACTCCGGTCTCTGCCTGTGTGGTGACTTGGCCTTCGCCTGTGTCTCTGTGTCCAAATTTCCCTCTTATGAAGACGCCAGTCATTGAATTAGGGCTCCCCCTACTCCTGCCTGACCTCATCTTAATGAATTACAGCTGCAAGATACAAACTGTCCTCACTTACGTACGATTCGTCTCTGACATTAAGCAGTCTCCCGGGGCTCCACGTCTGTTCGCTCTCCGCTTAAATTCTTGAAAGGCGCTGGGAAGGCAGGAGCTGCCTTCGCAGATATTTAGCAGATGAGGATCGACGGCCAATGGGAACCGTGAAGAGACACAAGGCCTGGTTTGGGCCAAGGGGCCTGGGGGGATGCCTAGCGGGGCTCAGCTGCTAAGATGCCAAAAATAGCCGGCTGGCTGGCGGGCGAAGCAGCCAAGCAGAAGGGGCTGGGCAGTGCCGCCTGGTAGCTCCAGCTCCGTCCTCCCGCTCCCCCCAACCCCACCTCCACCTGCCACCCCAGCCCCCAGAATCCGGGCTGCAGCCAAGAGGAGTTGGTAGGGGTGCAGCAGGCTCCCAGGAGAGATGGGAAGAGCCCAGGACGCACAGCCATCGGGACCCACGGAGCATTGGTACCTGTTCCTCTGGGCCACCACGGCTCCATGCCATCTGCCCCCCACCCAGAGGCCCAGCTCCCCGCCCCGCTCCACCCTCTCCCTTAGCTTCTGCAGATGTCCGCCACACCTCAGGGCCCTTCCACTGGCTGTTCCCCCAGCCCACACACCCTCCCTCCAGAAATCCACGGGCTCTGTTCTGTTCAACTTTTGGGTCGGCCTGTTTCCTGCCAGAACAAGGCGCCGCAAACCCAGGGAGCTTAAAACAACCGAAACATACGCTCTCCCAGCTCTGGAGGCAGAAGTCCAAAATCAAGGTGTCCGCAGGGCTGGGGGCCCTCTGGAAGCTTCCGGTGAGCGTTCTTCCTGCCTCTCCCAGCTTCCCAGGGCTCTCAGCAATCCCTGGCTTGTGGCTGTGTCACCCTAGCCTCTACCTCCGTCTTCACACGGCTGTATTTCCCCTGTAAGGGGCTAGGTGTGTGGCCAAGTCTCCCTGTTGTAAGGACAGGAGTCGTTGGAAAAGGCTCACTGTAACCCACCACAGTCTCATCTAAACTTGAGTGCATCTGTAAAGACCCTGATTCCAAACGAGGTCCCGTGCACAGCGGGCACGGAGGGTAGGACTTGAACATACCTTTTTTTTCCCCCCCTTGAGACAGTCTCACTCTGTTGCCCAGGGGCTGGAGTGCAGTGGTGTGATCACGGCTCACTGAAGCCTCAACTCCTGGGATCAAGTGATCTTCCCACCCCAGACCCCCCCAGTTAGGACTATAGATGCACACCACCACGCCCAGCTGATTTTTGTACTTTTAGTTGAGACGGAGTTTCCCCATGTTGCCCAGGCTGGTCTCGAACTCCTGACCTCAGGTGATCCACCACCTCGGCCTCCCAAAGTGCTGGGATTACAGGTGTGAGCCACCGTGCCTGGCCTTGAACATATCTTTTGCAGGAACACAGTTCCACCCACAACAGGGTCTGAGATCAAATGTCATCTCCCTGTCTGTGGATGGGCCTGTCCTGGATATTTCATAGAAATGAGATCACATGGACGGGCGTGATGGCTCAAGCCTGTAATCCCCACACTTTGGGAGGTCAAGGCGGGTGGATCACTTAACATCAGGAGTTCAAGACAAGCCTGGCCAACACCGCGAAACCCAGTCTCTACTAAAAATACGAAAATTAGCTGGGTATGGTGGCAGGCGCCTGTAGTCCCAGGTACTTGGGAGGCTGAGGCAGGAGAATGGCGTGAACCCAGGAGGTGGAGTTTGCAGTGAGCCAAGATCACAGCCACTGCACTCCAGCCTGAGCAACAGAGCAAGACTCCGTCTTGAAAGAAAGAAAGAAAGAAAGAAAGAAAGAAAGAAAGAAAGAAAGAAAGAAAGAAAGAAAGAAAGAAAGAAAGAGAAAGAAAGAAGGAAAGAGAGAGAGGGAGGGAGGGAGAAAGGGAGGGAGAGAGGAAGGAAAGAGAGAGGGAGGGAGGGAAGGAAGGAAGGAAGGAGAAGGGGAGGGGAGGGAAGAAGGAAGGAGGGAGGGAGGGCGGGAAGGAAGGAAGGAAAGAGAATAAAAGAAAGAGAAAGAAAAAGAACAGAAAGAAAAAGAAAGAAGAAAGAAAAGAGAAAGAAAGAAAAGGGAAGAAAGAAAGAAAGGGAAAAAGAGAAAGAAAGAGGATCACACAATGTGGCCTTTTGTCACATCTCTCACTGAGCATGGCATCCTCAAGGTGCATCCTCACCGTGGCCTGGGTCAGAGCCTGGCTCCCTTTGGTGGCTGAGTCGTGTTCGTGTGTGGCCGGCTGCACTGTGCTGAGCCATCCATTCCTTGGTGCACACTCCAGCCTTTCCCACTGTTTGGCAGTTACAGATGCGGCTGTGAATGTTCCCAGGTTTTCCGTGCACTGTGTGTTCCATTCTCTTGTGTGAAGACACCCAGGAGCAGGTGGGCGCGGTGGCTCACACCTGTAATCCCAGCACTTTGGGAGGCCAAGGCGGGTGGATCACCTGAGGTCAGGAGTTTGAGACCAACCTGGCCAATATGGTGAAACCCCGTCTCTACTAAAAACACAAAAATTATCCAGGCGTGGTGGCGGGCACCTGTAATCCCAGCTATATGGGAGGCTGAGGCAGGAGAATCTCTTGAACCCGGGAGGTGGAGGTTTCAGTGAGCCGAGATCAAGCCACTGCACTCCAGCCTGGATGACAGAGCGAGACTCCATCTCAGAAAAACAAACAAGAAAAAACAAAACAAAACTCCAGGAGATAGGAATTGCAGCCACACGGTGGATCATCATGCTGCTTTTTTTTTTTGGGGGGGGGGTCTTCCTCTGTCCCTCTTGTCTCCCAGGCTGGAGCACAGTGGCACAATCACAACTCACTGTGGCCTTGACCCCCTGGGCTCTAGGAATCCTCCTGGCTCAGCCTCCTGAGTAGCTGGGACCACAGGTGCAGGCCACCATGCCTGGGTAAACTTCTTAATATTTCACAATTACTTGCAAACCAGCTAATTTTTATTATTATTATTATTTTTTGTAGAGACAGGGGTCTCACTGTGTTGCCCAGGCTGGAGTGCAGTGGCACGAGCATAGCTCACTGCAGCAGCCTCCACCTCCTGGGCCCAAGTGATCCTCCTGCCTCAGCCTCCTGAGTAACTGGGACCACAGGCCTACACCACCACATGCGGCTCATCTTTTATTTTTTTGCAGAGATGGGAGTCTTGCTATGTTGCGCAGGCTGCTCTGGAACTCTTGAACTCAAGCAATTATTCCATCTCAGCCTCCCAAAATGCTGGGATTACAGGCGCCAGCCGCTGTGCTGGGGCGGGTTAGGGGTGGGCTGTGTGCGGAGGCGCCGCGGAGGGGGACCCGGTGCTAACGGTGCTAACGTTGCTAATGCTGCCCGCTCCTCGCCCGCCCGCAGGTGCGCAGGAGGATGGTGGCGCGGCCCTAGGCCCACGCTCCGCACCATGACCTGCTGGCTGTGCGTCCTGAGCCTGCCCCTGCTCCTGCTGCCTGCGGCACCGCCCCCGGCTGGAGGCTGCCCGGCCCGCTGCGAGTGCACCGCGCAGACCCGCGCCGTGGCCTGCACTCGCCGCCGCCTGACCGCCGTGCCCGAAGGCATCCCGGCCGAGACGCGCCTGCTGGAGCTCAGCCGCAACCGCATCCGCTGCCTGAACCCGGGCGACCTGGCCGCGCTGCCCGCGCTGGAGGAGCTGGACCTGAGCGAGAACGCCATCGCGCACGTGGAGCCCGGCGCCTTCGCCAACCTGCCGCGCCTGCGCGTCCTGCGTCTCCGTGGCAACCAGCTGAAGCTCATCCCGCCCGGGGTCTTCACGCGCCTGGACAACCTCACGTTGCTGGACCTGAGCGAGAACAAGCTGGTCATCCTGCTGGACTACACGTTCCAGGACCTGCACAGCCTGCGCCGGCTGGAGGTGGGTGACAACGACCTGGTGTTCATCTCGCGCCGCGCCTTCGCGGGGCTGCTGGCCCTGGAGGAGCTGACCCTGGAGCGCTGCAACCTCACGGCTCTGTCCGGGGAGTCGCTGGGCCACCTGCGCGGCCTGGGCGCCCTGCGGCTGCGCCACCTGGCCATCGCCGCCCTGGAGGACCAGAACTTCCGCAGGCTGCCCGGGCTGCTGCACCTGGAGATTGACAACTGGCCGCTGCTGGAGGAGGTGGCCGCAGGCAGCCTGCGGGGCCTGAACCTGACGTCGCTGTCAGTCACCCACACCAACATCACTGCCGTGCCGGCCGCCGCGCTGCGGCACCAGGCGCACCTCACCTGCCTCAATCTGTCGCACAACCCCATCAGCACGGTGCCGCGGGGGTCGTTCCGGGACCTGGTCCGCCTGCGCGAGCTGCACCTGGCCGGGGCCCTGCTGGCCGTGGTGGAGCCTCAGGCCTTCCTGGGCCTGCGCCAGATCCGCCTGCTCAACCTCTCCAACAACCTGCTCTCCACGTTGGAGGAGAGCACCTTCCACTCGGTGAACACGCTGGAGACGCTGCGCGTGGACGGGAACCCCCTGGCCTGCGACTGTCGCCTGCTGTGGATCGTGCAGCGTCGCAAGACCCTCAACTTCGACGGGCGGCTGCCGGCCTGCGCCACCCCGGCCGAGGTGCGCGGCGACGCGCTGAGAAACCTGCCGGACTCCGTGCTGTTCGAGTACTTCGTGTGCCGCAAACCCAAGATCCGGGAGCGGCGGCTGCAGCGCGTCATGGCCACCGCGGGCGAAGACGTCCGCTTCCTCTGCCGCGCCGAGGGCGAGCCGGCGCCCACGGTGGCCTGGGTGACCCCCCAGCACCGGCCAGTGACTGCCACCAGCGCAGGCCGGGCGCACGTGCTCCCCGGGGGGACGCTGGAGATCCAGGACGCGCGGCCGCAGGACAGCGGCACCTACACGTGCGTGGCCAGCAACGCGGGCGGCAACGACACGTACTTCGCCACGCTGACCGTGCGCCCCGAGCCGGCCGCCAACCGGACCCCGGGCGAGGCCCACAACGAGACGCTGGCGGCCCTGCGCGCGCCGCTGGACCTCACCACCATCCTGGTGTCCACCGCCATGGGCTGCATCACCTTCCTGGGCGTGGTCCTCTTCTGCTTCGTGCTGCTGTTCGTGTGGAGCCGCGGCCGCGGGCAGCACAAGAACAACTTCTCGGTAGAGTACTCCTTCCGCAAGGTGGATGGGCCGGCCGCCGCGGCAGGCCAGGGCGGCGCGCGCAAGTTCAACATGAAGATGATCTGAGGGGTCCCCAGGGGCGGGCCCTCCCCTCCCACCCCTCGCGGGCCGGCCGCTCGCGTGTCCACCTATGCATTTCCCGGAGGGGGCGGGGGTGGCTGCACGGCGGCTCCCCTGGGAGAACTTCCCCTTTTTTTTGTAGACGCCCAACCGCAGGACTGTTTTTCATCAGCATGCGTCTTTTTGCAGTTTCTCAAGCGTTTTCTAAAGGTTTCAACCCGTCTTCCTGTCCCTGCTATGGTGGCTGAGTTGGCGGTGGCGGTGCGGGCTGCAAGGTGGGGTGATGGGCTCCCATCTACCAACCTGGAATGACTGGGGGTGCTGAGAGACCCCAAGATCCTCAGGGCCCGCAATTCACACCCAGGAGGCACAAGTCTGCTGCCCCCAAGCCCTGGGCTTCCGCTCCCCCAGCCCTTTACACACAGATCACACCAGGGAGACGGTGGACACCCAAGACCCACAAAGGGCCCTACAGCCCCAAGGGGAGGGTGCACAGAAAGTCTGCATTGCTCACACCTGGGCCTCCTGCACCTCACACCCAGAGACACACTCACACCTGGAACCCAATCACACAGGTGAAACACACCTCACACCCAGCCGACACTAAAACCAGACCCGGGGCGCCAGAGCTGACCACAGGGGCAGGCAGGGCTCTCGTGAGAGCAAAGTTCTCACCTGGGACAGGCACAGCTCACACTTGAGACACAGCTCACACCTGGGATACAGCTCACACCTGGAACAGGCACAGCTCACACCCAGGACACACAGCTCACACCCAGGTCACAGCTCATACCCGGGACAGGCACAGCTCACACCCGGGACACATAGCTCACACCTGGAACACAGCTCACACCCAGAACACAGCTTACACCCGGACACACTCAGTTCACACTGGAACACACAGCTCACACCTGGGACATGCTCAGCTCACACCTGAGACTTTTCACACCTGGGACATGCTCAGCTCACACCTGAGACACAGTTCACACCTGGGACAGGCACAGCTCACACCCGGGACACAGTTCACACCCAGGACAGGCACAGCTCATGCCTGGGACATATAGCTCACACCTGGAACACAGCTCACACCCGAGACACAGCGCACACCTGGGACAAGTACAGCTCACACCCAGAACACACAGCTCACATCCGGGGCACACTCAGTTCACACTGGAACACACAGCTCACACCTGGGACATGCTCAGCTCACACCTGAGACATGCTCAGCTCACACCTGAGACACAGGCACAGCTCACACTGGAACACACAGCTCACACCTGGGACACACAGCTTACACCTGGGACATGCTCAGCTCACACCCGAGACACAGCTCACACCTGGGACAGGCACAGCTCACACCCAGAACACACAGCTCACACCCAGGACACACTCAGCTAACACCCAGGACATGCTCAGCTCACACCCAGAACACAGAGCTCACACCTGGGACACACACAGCTCACCACACCTGAGACACACACCTCACACCCAGCTGACACTAAAACCAGGCCCTGGGCACCAGAACTGACCACAGAGGCAGGCAGGGCTCTCGTGAGAGCACAGCTCACACCCGGGACATGCTCAGTTCACACCTGGGACAGGCACAACTCACAACTGAGACACAGCTCACACCTGGGACACACAGCCCACCCCAGCGCCTGCTCAGCTGAGCATCTCCCAGCCGACCTCAGGGCCTGGGCTCAGGTCTGCTGAGGACCCAGCACACGCAGCGGTTACAGTCAGGGGCCCCCACGCCCTGTCCTCCGTCCTCCCCACAGCCCAGCAGGGCTGTCCGCAAGGAGGAGCCATTGCCCCAGCCCTCCACCTCCCTCCGCCGCCACTTGCTTCTCAGAACAGTTGGCAAGAGAGGGCCACCCCACAAGGGAGAGGTAGCCACCCTGGCCCCGGCCCAGGACCATGGCTTCTGGGGTCCTGAGTGTCCCTCTAAATGGGTCTACTGGAGGGACCTTTGCCTCTAGGTACGCATTGACCCCTGAGCCAGCCTCAGACAAGCCCTGAGCGTGGCCCCATCATGCCCGGCTCTGCTGACTCATGGCTCAGGTGGGGAACAAGACCAAAGAGCACAGGGGGTTCCCGGGGGGTCCCTGCTATGTGCATTGCAGAGGCAGTGACAAGAACAAGGCCGAAACAAGGGCTTCACCCTGCAGGAAGGCCTGGACCTGGGTCCTTGGAAGAAGGTGATAGAAGAACCTTGGTCTCTGCACCTGCAGTGGTCGGGCAGATCTAGGACCAAAGCTGGGGTCACAGGCCGACTGCAGCTCAGGTCAAGGAAAAGCTTCCCCGAAGTCACTGCCCTGTTGCTCTACAGATGGTGAGCTCCCCGTCACGGGGGGTAAACAAGGAGGAGCTGAGGTTTTGCAGAAGGATTCAGACACTAGACAGGGACCATAGGGACCATCTGTGACCTGGCCTCCTCATAGCCAATTTTTGCCCCTCCCCCTCCACATCCTCCAGAGGACAGTTAGGACATTGCTGGGGGCAGGGACAGGAACCATTGTTGGGCCAAAACCTCAGTCAGAAAGGGCTTGGCTGCCAACCGAGAGGTTAGGACAGACCCTCCAGGACTTTGCAGGAAGGGCTCAAAAGCAGCTCTGCTGCTGCCCAGCTGTACGATCTCAGCTGGTGACCGAAGATCACCTAGACCATCAGTGTCCTCATCTGTAAAATGGGTCTGAGGGTCAAACCTATTACCCTGTATTCAGAGGCCAGGCCTGCAGATGGGCCTGATGGCTTGACTTGGATCCTGGATCCCTCAAGACTGCTCTGAGATCAGTCAGAGAGAAACAGAGAGAAAGCCGGCTCAGCCCTGGAGGGTGTTTGAGCAAAGGTTTCAGACGGAGCTGCAAGGTGACGCCGGCCCATTCTCCCTGAGCTGTGGCCGGGAGGGCCCAGGCCTGCACCACGGTGTACAGACGGTCCAGGGGGCTCGACATGAGTGAGGGTGAAGTTCCTGTAACCCCAACCGCCACCCCTGAATTGGGCACAACCAATTATTTTCTTCGCACCTGCCTGACTCTGCTTACCATGACAACCCCAAGGGCCTCCCCAAAATTGATATCCAAGTGCCTTTAGCCTATCAAAGACAGGAGGGGGTGCATTCTCGGTCATGTTAGGGTTCACAGAGCATCCGTATATTAGGATTTCCCAGCCCCCTGAGCTCCCCACCCCATCCCAACATGAACCAAGACCCCTCAGTCCCCCACCCCTCATCCTGCTGTATTTGGTTCAAATCCAATAAAAATGGAACCGATTTAATAACAAACTTCAGATTTTGTTCTTACTCCCGTGGGAGCAACAGGGGGCAGGGCTGAGGGATGAGGGGCTGCTGGGGTCCCCAGGGGAAGCCAACCCTGAGAGAATTCCACGCCACTAGTGACGTGTGATAGGCCACACTTCTGCAGCGCCCATGCTGTTCCCAGTGCTGTTCCAGGCGCTGTGTGTGTTGCCTCCTTTCACACTGAGGCCAGCCCTGCGAGCTGGGTGGATCCTGTTAACGAACCCATTTTACAGATGGGTCGAGCGAGGGGCAGAGAATGGTGGGAAGCCGCTCTGAGACCCCAGCTAGGGACAGGTGGGGGCTGAGAAGAGTGGGCAAAGCTGGGCCGTTGGGAAACTCCCTCCCCAGCCTCAGGCCAGGGAAGAAAGAAGACATGGGTCCCCGCGGTGCCTCCTGGAATTGGCCTGTCGGGGAGTCTGGGTGCTGCTGACAGGGTCCCACGTCTGCCCTGCCTGTCTCTGAGGGCTCCCAGAAAAACCAGGGAGTCTTGGCTTTGGAAGTGAGATTAATAAAGTTCTTTAGCCCGCGCCAGTCCTCACTGACAGATGGGGAGATTGAGGCACAGAGCAGCAACAGATGGGGAAGCCGAGGCACGGAGAGGCGACAGGTGGGGAAACTGAGGCACAGTGGGCGTGAAGGCTCAAACCCCACCCACCCAGGAAGGCACAGGGAGAAGCTCGTGTTTTTTCAGGAAGGAGGTGGACGGAACCAGAGTGCAGAAGTTCCAGCCAACAGCAGCCTCCCACTCGCCACAGCCCAGTGTCGGTCTCCGGACCTCGGTTCCCCCGTTTGAACCTAGGACTAAGGTTCCTTTACTTCCCTGCCCTTCGGGGGCAGAACAGAGGCCCGTCAGGGACTGTGAGGCGTCCCTCTCTCCATGCCTGGTTTCAAGGCAGCTGGAGGGTGAGGGGGGCTCTAGGCTGTGGGACTCTCCCGTGGGGACTGATTTCCCGTTCTCTCCTGCAACAAAGGCAGGTGAAACTATTGTCCTGTGGGCCTCAGAGTCCCCATCCAGGAGAGCCGCCCGTTCCCTGTGCAACGCTCTGAGTGCCTGACATGAACCAGGTGCAACCTCCAAGCTTTCCATGAATCCTGTCTCGTTTATGGGGTGCCCTGCGGGGAGGGCAGGGGAGACCTCAGAAGAGGCCCTTCCTGCTCAGGCAGCCAAGACGCAGCTAAAGTAACACCCATCTCCTTGGTGGCTGGAAACCCAAGAGAGGATCCCTAAAACCAGGACGGGACCAAGCCATCCTCATGCCTCATGTCTGGGTGGCTTCTGACCAAGCCTGCCTTGACTTCCCCTCCCAGACAGAGCTAGGACCAGCCCCAGCCCACGCCTGCACCCTCGTGGGTCTCTCACCCCCATCTTCTGGACGTGGACGCGTGTTTGGGGTATCTCTCTGTCTCCCACATCCCCCCAGCAAGCCGACATCTTTTCCAGGTGATTCCTTGAGCCCCGCATATTAACTTCCCTCCTGTTTTCCTCCGCAAGACAGAGACACGATTCCCACACGCAAGCTTTTGCTCGTGGGGCCTAGGGAAGCTGGAGCTCAGGTCTCTGGCTTCCATTGCTGCGTGGCCTGGGACAAGTCACTGCCCCTCTCTGTGCCTCGGTTTGTTTGTCTGTAATTTGGAAGATAATAATCCTGCAATAGGCTGGGCATGGTGGCTCACATCTGTAATCCCAGCACTTTGGGAGGCTGAGGCGAGTGGGTCACCTGTGGTCAGGAGTTCGAGACCAGCCTAGCCAACATTGTGAAACCCCATCTTAACAAAAAATACAAAAATTTGCCGGGTGTGGTGGCAGCCGCCTGTAATCCCAGCTACTCAGGAGGCTGAGGCAGGAGAACCACCTGAATCCAGGAGGCGGAGATTGCAGTGAGGCAAGATCGTGCCACTGTGCTCCAGCCTAAGCAACAAGAGGGAAACTACCTCAAATAATAATAATAATAATAATAATCCTGCAATAGTTCTGTGGTATGCAGGATAAAAACTGCATGAGTTTCCTACAACTGCAGTTACAAATGGCCACAAACCTAGTAGCTTAAAATAACTTAAAATTATGATCTGACAGATCTGGAGCCCCAAAGTCGAAAATCAGCAGGGCTGTTTCCTCCAGACGTCCCAGGGGAGAATCTACTTTCTGCCTTTTCTGGCTCCAGAGCCGCCTGCATCCGTGGGCTCGTGGCCACATCATTCTGACCTCTGTTTCGGTCATCACATCTTCTTCTCTAACCCTGAGCCACCTGCCTTCCTCCTTACAAGGACCCCTATGTGGACACTGAGCCCCCCAAAAATGAAGATCTCCCTATCTGATGAAAGGTAGCAGAATTCCATCTGCAACCTTGATCCCCCTCACCAGACAGCTGCCTCGTCAGATTCCGGAGATGAGGACACAGGAGCTTTTTGGGGCTGTTATTCTGCTTACTAAAAAAAAACAAAAACAAACAAACAAAAAACGGGTCAGGCACAGTGGCTCCTGCCTGTAATCCCAGCACTTTGGGAGGCCGAGGCAGGGGGATCACTTAAGGTCAGGAGTTCAAGACCAGCCTGGCCAACATGGTGAAACCCCATCTGTACTAAAAATACAAAAATGACCCAGGCGTGGTGGACGTGCGCCTGTAATCCCAGCTACTCGGGAGGCTGAGGCAGGAGAATCGCTTGAACCAGGGAGGCGGAGGTTGCAGTGAGCCAAGATCGCACCACGGCACTCCAGCCTGGCGACAGAGTGAGACCCTGTCTCAAACCAAACAGGCATTTTTCTCCGAAAGGCCAAAGTCATGTGAAATCCATCAGCATGTGGCCCCCCTGCCCCGTGCTGGGCAATGCTGGAGACCCAGAGAGAATGTGGTCCCAGCTCCCGCAGCTCAATAAGGGCCTCTCAAATGAAGGGACAACTGTAGGATCTGGAGGGGCCTGATCCAGAGGCCACACCACACTATGAACTTTTTTCTTTTTTTTTTTTGAGACAGAGTTTCACTCTTGTCACCTGGACTGGAGTGCATTGGCACAATCTTGGCTCACTGCAACCTCTGCCTCCTGGGTTCAAACGATTCTCCTGCCTCAGCCTCCTGAGTAGCTGGGATTACAGGCGCAGGCTACCACGTCTGCCTAATTTTGTATTTTTAGTAGAGACAGGGTTTCACCACGTTGGCCAGGATGGTCTCGATCTCCCGAGCTCAGGTGATGTGCCCGCCTCGGCCTCCCAAAGTGCTGAGATTACAGGCATGAGCCACCATGCCCAGGCTTTTTTTTTTTTTTTTTTTTAAATGGAGTCTTGCTGTGTTGCCCAGGCTGGAGTGCAGTGGTGGGATCTCAGCTCACTGCAACCTCTGCCTCCCAGGTTCAGGTGATTCTCCTGCCTCAGCCTCCAGAGTAGCTGGGATTATGGGTACCCACCTCCATGCCCGGCTAATTTTTTGTATAGGCATTTGACCAGCTTTTGCATCATTTTAAACTCTGTGCCCTGGCCAGGCGCAGTGGCTTACGCCTGTAACCCCAGCACTTTGGGAGGCCGAGGTGGGCAGGTCACCTGAGGTCAGGAGTTTGAGACCAGCCTGGCCAACATGGTGAAACCCTAACTCTACTAAAAATAATAATAATAATACAAAAATTAGCCAGGTATGGTAGCCGGTGGCTGTAGTACCTTGGGAGCCTGAGGCAGGAGAATTGCTTGAACCCGGGAGGCAGAGGTTGGAGTCAGCCAAGATTGCGCCACTGCACTCCAGCCTGGGCGACAGAGTGAGACTCCACCTGAAAAATAAATAAACAAGGCCGGGAGCGGTGGCTCAAGCCTGTAATCCCAGCACTTTGGGAGGCCGAGACGGGCGGATCACGAGGTCAGGAGATCGAGACCATCCTGGGTAACACAGTGAAACCCCGTCTCTACTAAAAATACAAAAACTTAGCCGGGCGAGGTGGCAGGCGCCTGTAGTCCCAGCTACTCGGGAGGCTGAGGCAGGAGAATGGCGTGAACCCGGGAGGCGGAGCTTGCAGTGAGCTGAGATCCGGCCACTGCACTCCAGCCTGGGTGACAGAGCGAGACTCCGTCTCAAAAAAAAAAAAATAAAAAAATTAAAAAAAAAAATAAATAAATAAATAAACAAAATAAAAACTAACCAGGCATGGTGGTGCACGCCAGTGGTCCCGGCTACTCAGGAGGCTGAGGTGGGAGGATCACTTGAGCCCAGGAAGCAGAGGCTGCCGCGAGCTATGATCACACCACTGCACTCCAGCCTGGGCGACACAGTGTAGGTGACGGAGCGAGACCCTGACTCAAAGAAAAAAAAGTATGGCATGGGACCCACTCGAAGGATGTTCATAAGGGAAAGGTAGTCTCCTTCCTCTCCTTCCCTTTCTCAGGGGATTGGGGGAGGCCAGGGAGACTCAGCAGTGGCTCTGTGGACCTCTGCTCCCAGCCTCGAGCTGCTGTGTGACCCTGGATGGAGCCCATATTGTCTCTGGGCCCATTTCCTTCAGGGAAATGGGATCGGGAACCCCTCATGAAACACACTCAATCTTTGCTGCAAGAACATCTTTGGGGCCGGGCAGGTTGGCTCACACCTGTGATCCTAGCACTTTGGGAGGCCGAGGCAGTGCAGCAGGACGAACCGCAGACAAAACTCCTTAGACACTGGATTAAAGAAGGAAGTGGATTATTCGGCCGGGAGCATCGGCAGACTTGTGTCTTAAGAGCCGAGCTCCCCAAAAAAGACATTCTTGGCCTTTTTAAAGACTCACAAGTTTAAAGGGTCCATGTGAAAGGGTCGTGATAAATCGAGCAAATGTGGGGAACGTGACTGGGGACTACAGGCATGAGCTAACAGACCAAAAAGTTTTACAATGCTTTTTCCATACAGTGTCTGGAATTTACAGACAACACAAGTAGTTTAGGTCAGGGGTCAATGTTATTATTACTACTTTTTTTTTTTCTTTTTTTTTTTTGAGACGGAGTCTCGCTCTGTCGCCCAGGCTGGAGTGCAGTGGCGCGATCTCGGCTCACTGCAAGCTCTGCCTCCCGGGTTCACGCCATTCTCCTGCCTCAGCCTCCCGAGTAGCTGGGACTACAGGCGCCCGCCACCACGCCTGGCTGATTTTTTGTATTTTTAGTAGAGACGGGGTTTCACCGTGTTAGCCAGGATGGTCTCGATCTCCTGACCTCGTGATCCGCCCACCTCAGCCTCCCAAAGTGCTGGGATTATAGGCGTGAGCCACTGCGCCCCGCCTATTATTACTTTTTTTAACTCCTAGGGCCGGATGGTTTTGCCAAGGTTGTCTGGCTATTTATCTTACTTTTGTTTCTTTCTAACTGTTTGCTTTGTCTCTCTCCTCCTGTCTTGTGAACTAGGCAAGGTGAGGGGAGGAGGGCAGCAGGAGGAGTAGTGGGCTCCTTCCCTAGCCAGAGGATCGCCCCAGGAGTTCGTTGCAGGCTGCAGTGAGCTGCGATTGCCCCACTGCGCTCCAGCCCGGGCAACAGTGTGAGACCCTGTCTCCAAAAAAAAAAAAAAAAGAAGACAGTTTTGACAGGCACACACTTCAGCTGGAATTTCACCCCGCGTCTGCTTTTCCTTGGGTTTTTTCCATTCTTGATTTTTCCATTTATGGTGATTTTATCTACAACGTCTTTTCTAAATAAATGCATCGAGGCAGTGAGGAAGGGGGAAGGGGGAAAGTGAGCCGATTCCGTGTTTTCAAAGAGAAATCCAGCAGGCAGGGCTGTTACCAAGCGGGATGCGGGAGACGCTTTTCTTTATTGGCCAGAGCACGGAGAGGGGCGGGGATTTGTCCACAGTCACACAGCCAGGCGCGGCAGAGCCGGGAGGGTCCTCGCCCACACTCCGCATTCGGGGGCCCTGGGATCGGGCAGGGGGCCGCTGGGGGCTCCTCAAGATGCTGCCACAGGAGGGGAGGCGGTTCCCGGGGAAGTGAAACCCACAGACCCCACTTTCACCTTCTCCAGGGACAGCCGTCACCACGTTCTGTGCCCTCCCTACGGTGGGCCAGCTCTGCCCCTCTGCCCATCTCACAGGGCTCCTCACTGCCCCTACCCCAGCCTGGCATCTGAGGCTGTCAGCCCTGGTGCTATTGACTTTCAGATCCCACCTCCTGGTCTCCGTCCGGGCTGTCCCCTCCGCCCGGGATGCTGTTCCCGGCTACATCCTGTCCTCTGAGGGCGGGCAGGGGAGGGGGCGGCCGCAGTTGGTGGGGAAGTGTTGCCGAAATGCCCCCGCCCCACCCCGGGCTGCGGTCTGACAGTTGGCCGGACGTTTTCCTGTCAGCTGCCGGCGCTAGGTCAGACCCCTCCTGCGAGGCCAGGGGCTGTGGCCATTGGGAGTTCGTCCCCCAGGACCCCTCCTCCCCCAGAGGGCACGCCAGTCTTGAAGGTAGGGGGCTCCTGGAGCAGGGAGCTGGACAGAAGCGGTTACTTTGTCAGGTTGGGATCTGGGCGGGGGTGGGTTGGGGCCTGGTTGCCGACACCAACCGCACAGCTGAGCCCTCAGGGAGGAGGCCTGAGTGTGGATCCCTGGGTCCCTGGACACTGTCTCCCCCACAACTGACCCCCAAAGACCTGTTCTTAGGCTGAACATTCTGTCCCCATCCCAAATGTGCAGTGGGGGTTCCTTCCCACTGCCTGGAAGATTGATGGATGACACACCTGCCTCATGATTGAGGAAGTAGGCCCAGAGAGGGCAGGAAACCCACTCGGGATCACACAGCAGGGTCAAAACTGGACAAGGGAGTGGAGTGTGGGTGCCCCTGTTCTCACCAAGGGCCCTGGAGCAGGGGGCCTCAACGGTCTCCCATGCTGTAGCACTCACGGACCCCTCCCATGTCGCCCTGTGCGTGTGCCACCCCACCACGCCCCGTCTGACCTTCCCCCAGCAACATGAGCAGCCCGGAGACTCCCACAGAGCCCCCCGAGCCCGACGACCCCACCTGGTCGACTCAGCCCACATATAGCAACCTCGGTGAGCAGCTCCCCGGGGAGCCCTGGGCCGGGGGCGTGCAGGGAGCGGCAGGGGGTGGAGGACACCGTGGCCTCTGGGAACAGCAGCAGTTGGTAAAATGAGTGACCTCAGGAAGGCCTGGAGTGGGCGAGGGCTGAAAAATAACCTGTGGGTTGGTGGGCGGGGTGTGTTGGCTCACGCCTATAATCCCAGCACCTTGGGAGGCCGAGGCGGGTGGATCCCTTGAGTCCAGGAGACCAGCCTGGGCAACATAATGAGACCCCCCCAATCTCTACAAAAAATAATAATAATAATAATAAGATGGACATGGTGTCAAGCGCCTGCAGTCCCAGCTACTGGGGAGGCTGAGGCAGGAGGATCCCTTGAGCCCAGGAGGTCAAGGCTGCAGTGAGCCATGAAATGGAAAAAAATATATACCATTAAAAAGGGAGAGGGGCTGGGCACGGTAACTCATGCCTGTAATCCCACCCTTTAATCCCAGCACTTTGGGAGATCAAGGAGGAGGATCACTTGAGGCCAGGAGTTCAAGACCAGCCTGGCCAACATGGCAAAACCAGTCTCTGCTAAAAATACAAAAATTAGTGGCCGGGCGCGGTGGCTCAAGCCTGTAATCCCAGCACTTTGGGAGGCCGAGAAGGGTGGATCACGAGGTCAGGAGATCGAGACCACCCTGGCTAACACGGTGAAACCCCGTCTCTACTAAAAAATACAAAAAAACTAGCCAGGCGAGGTGGCGGGCGTCTGTAGTCCCAGCTACTCGGGAGGCTGAGGCAGGAGAATGGCGTAAACCCGGGAGGCGGAGCTTGCAGTGAGCTGAGATCCGGCCACTGCACTCCAACCTGGGCGACAGAGCGAGACTCCGTCTCAAAAAAAAAAAAAAAAAAAAAATACAAAAATTAGCCAGACATGGTAGTGGACGCCTGTAATTCCAGCTACTCGAGAGGCTGAGGCAGGAGACTTCCTTGAACCTGGGAGGCAGAGGTTTCAGGGAGCCAAGATTGAGCCACTGTACTCCAGCCTGGGCGACAGAGGGAGACTCTATCTCAAAAAAAAAAAAAAAAAAAAAAAAGCCGGGTGCGATGATTCAAGCCTGTAATCCTAGCACTTTAGGAGGCTGAGTCAGGCAGATCGCCTGAGGTCAGGAGTTTGAAACCAGCCTGGCTAATATGGTGAAACCCCATCTCCACTACTAAAAATACAAAAATTAGCCGGGCATAGTGGCGGGTGCCTGTAATCCCAGCTACTTGGGAGGCTGAGGTGGGAGAATCACTTGAACCCAGGAGACAGATGTTGCAGCGAGCCGAGATTGGGCCACCGCACTCCAGGCTGGGCGATAGAGCAAGACTTTAAAAAAAAAAAAGCCAGAGAGACACCTGCCCAAAGTCACAGAGGTAAGAGTAGGAGTCGCTGAGTGCTGGGTGGCACCATTCTCTGAAACTGATCCATCCTCCTATGAGCTTCAGTTTCCTCTTCTGTAAGCTCTGTCCCCCAGAATGGAGTGCGGTGGCGCAATCTCGGCTCACTGCAAGCTCCGCCTCCCAGGTTCAAGCCATTATCCTGCTTCAGCCTCCCGAGTAGCTGGGACTACAGGTGCCCGCCACCACGCCTGGCTAATTTTTTGTATTTTTAGGAAAAGACGGGGTTTCACCGTGTTAACCAGGATGGTCTCGATCTCCTGACCTCGTGATCCTCCCGCCTTGGCCTCCCAAAGTGCTGGGATTACAGGCGTGAGCCACCGCGCCCGGCCGCGTCTGGCAAATTTGTTTAAATTTTTGCAGAGAGAGGGTCTCACTAGGTTGCCCAGGCTGGTCTCAGACCCTAAGTTCCAGTGATCCTCCTGCCTCGGCTTCCACCTTCCTAAGTGCTGGGATTACAAGAATGAGCCACCGGCGCCCAGCCTTATTACTTCCATGTTAGAGATGGGGAAACCGAGACTGAGAGGTGGAGTCACGTGTCCCGTTCCCATTCCGCCTGTCTTCAGCCCTCCCCACTGTCTCTCCCTGCAGGTGAGATCCGTGCCCACCTGCTGCCCTCCAAGGCCTGCCGCCCCCGGACCCCTGGGTCCTGCTCCACCGACCCACAGCCCCTGCCCCCACCCCTGCCCAAGAAAATCCTAACCCGGACCCAGTCACTGCCCAACCGCAGGACCTCCCATGCCAGCTCTATCCAAGTACAGCTGCCTCGGAGGCCCTTTCTGGGGTCCCACAGTGTGGACAAGAGCCAGGCTGAGGTGGGACCAGCTTGTGCCCCTGCAGAGCTGACCTTTGGCCTGACTGATGCCCCGCTGGGCCTCTCTCTCCGCAATCTGCACAGTCCAGAGGCTGTGCACGCTGCATTGGCTGCCCGGCAGCTGCAGGGCCTCCATGCCATCTATGCCCGGCTCCGTGCCCGGTTCATGGGGGGCCACCCCGGGCCCTGCCGCCCTGGCCACGGCTTCCGCCTCCTGGACAGCTCGCCCTGCGCAGAGAGCGGGGATGCCCTGTACTACCGCGTGGTACGCGTGCATGACGACGCCTGGCACATCCTGGTCGCCAAGGTGAGACCCACGGCCCCACCTTCTCTGAGGTGTCCCCAGTGTCCCATCTTAGGCATAACTCAGGGCTTGTTTCGCTTGGCCTTTCTGTGAGTCAGTTCTCTCACTGCTGTAAAGAAATACTGGAGCCCAGCGCTCACACCTGTCATCCGAGCACTTTGGGAAGCCACAGCGGGCGGATCACGAGGTCAGGAGATCGAGACCATCCTGGCTAACACGGTGAAACCCCGTCTCTACTAAAAATACAAAAAATTAGCCAGGCGTGATGGCGGGCACCTGTAGTCCCAGCTACTTGGGAGGCTGAGGCAGGAGAATGGCATGAACCTGGGGGGCAGTGAGCCAAGAATGCGCCACTGCACTCCAGCCTGGGCAACAGAGCGACTCTGTCTCAAAAAAAAAAAAAAAAAAAAAGGCTGGGCAGCACAGTGGCTCACGCCTGTAATCTCAGCACTTTGGGAGGCCAAGGCGGGCAGATCATGAGGTCAGGAGTTCGAGACCAGCCTGGCCAACATAATGAAACTCCGTCTCTACTAAAAATACAAAGATTAGCCAGGCGTGGTGGTGTGCGCCTGTAGTCCCAGCTACTTGGAGGCTGAGGCAGGAGAATCGCTTGAACCCGGAGGTGGGGGTTGCAGTGAGCTGAAATTGCACCACTGTATTCCAACCTGGGAGACAGAGTGAGACTCTGTCTCAAAAAAAAAAAAAAAAAGTAAAGTAAAGAAAAAAAGGAATACTGGAGACTGGGTCATTTATAGAGAAAAGAGCCTTCACTGGCTCATGGTTCTGGTGGCTTCTGCTTCTGGAGAGGCCTCAGGAAGCTTCCAATCATAGTGGAAGGCGAAGCGGGAGCAGCCATCTCATATGGTAGGAGCAGGAGGAAGGGAGGGAGGAGGTGCCACGCACCTTTACACAGCCGGATCTCACGAGAACTCACACGCTATCCCAATGACAGTGCCAAGGAGGATGGTGCTGAGCCATTCATGATAAACTACCCCCCAAGATCCAGCTACCTCCCACCAGATCCCACCTCCAACACTGGGGATTACAATTGGCCATGAGATTTGGTGAGGACACAGATCCAGACCAAATTAGACTTGTTTATTTTGCAACTAACACGTGAATCAACACAGTTAACCCAGGAAACCCTGTTTCTAAAGTGTGGGGCCATGGATATGGCCTTGGAGCCCTCGTCAAAGCCCCTCCCACACCTCTCTGGACGGGGATCTGTTTTTTTGTTGTTGTTTTTGGGTTTTTTTTGTTTTTTGTTTTTTGTTTTTTTTTTGAGACAGAGTCTCACTCTGTTGCCCAGGCTGGAGTGCAGTGGTGCGATCTCCGCTCACTGCAACCTCCGCCTTCCGGGTTCAAGCGATTCTCTCATCTCAGCCTCCGAAGTAGCTGGGATTACAGGCGCGCCACCACGCCCAGCTAGTTTTGTATTTTTAGTAGAGACGAGCGTTCCCTGTGTTGACCAGGCTGGTCTCGAACTCCTGACCTCAGCGATCCCCCTGCCTCCCAAAGTGCTGGGATTACAGGCGTGAGCCACCGTGCCCAGCCCAGGAATCTGCTTTCGAACTCATTGCCCAGGGACACTGCCACCATCTTCTTCCCTGGCTTAATTTTCCTAAAAGCCCTTACTGGTGACTGACTACCCAATTAACATGGACCTCCTGCTGCTGGAGGGATGCGGGCAGTCTCCCACCCCCAGCCATAGTGGGGGCAGTTTGGGGGTGAGCGGGGGAGACTTCGTGGCAGGTCGCTCTGGGGCGGGCAGTGCTGGTGGGGGGCCCAGTGATTCAGGCCCCTTCACCCCCTCTGCCTTGCAGGTACCCAAGCCCGGGGCGGACGTGCCCCACCCGTGGGGCCTGGAGCTGCAGGCCTCCCTGTCTCCACACTTCAATCTACAGGGGTTGTGTGGCGTGGTGCCTGAAGGCACACTGCCCGGGGCGCCCTGGAGAGGCGCGGTGGCGCTGGCAGCGGAGGTGCCGGAGCGCACGGTGGCGCAGTGGCTGGTGGAGGCCTGCACGCAGCCGCCGGAGGAGTTCGTGTGGGCCGTGGCCCTGGTGCTGCTGCAGCTGAGCGCGGCCCTGGAGTTCCTGGAGGCGTGGGGCGCGGCCCTGGTCGAGTTGCGGCCAGAGAACTTGTTGCTGGCGGCACCTCGGGGCTGTGCGGCGACTGGGCACGCGCGCCTACTCCTCGCTGACTTTGGCCGCGTCTGTCTGCAGCCCCCCGGACCCCCGGGCTCCCCGGGCCCCCACGCGCCGCAGCTGGGCAGCCTCCTCCGCGAGATGCTCGGCCTTGCTACGCCCTCGACCACGCCTTTGACCGCGGGCCTGGAGCGCCTGGCAGCACAGTTGACCCGCTTGCAGCCCTCGGCGTCCCGGACGCGGGGCGCGCTGCAGGCGCTGCTCTGGGGGCCGGGGCCTGAGGTGCGCGGCCGCGGAGCGCCGGTCGGTCCCTGGCTCAGGGCGCTCGGGCCCTGGCTGCGGTTGCGCCGTGGGCTGCTGGTCCTGCGCCTGGCAGAGCGGGCCGCAGGTGGGGAAGCGCCCAGCCTCGAGGACTGGCTGTGTTGCGAATACCTGGCCGAGGCCACCGAGTCCTCTATGGGCCAGGCCCTGGCGCTGCTGTGGGACTGAACCCAACCCAGGGCGAACACACCTGGTCCAGGCCTGCCCAGGAGGCAGGGCTGGGGCTGAGGTCAGCGTCTCTATGATCGCCAAGACGACCTCCTCCTGCAGCAGAAAGAGCAGCGCCCCCCTCCAGAGTCTCCCCTCTCGTGCTGGCGATGTGGGTCAAGGGCTTCCCAGGAGTGCAGCTACCCCTGCAGGGCTGGGGGCTGGCCAGCGCCTCCTGTGTGGGCAGCAGCTGCCTGAAGCCAGGGCCCCCAGGCCACTTCCAGGTGTGGACACCCCCGCTGATGAGTGTCTCTCTGTATTCCACCTTCCCCGGCAGCCAGGGCGCTTTTCCGCGGTGGGTCCTGTCATTGTCTCCCTGAGAGGCCAATGCCGGGACCAGAGCATTCCTAGCCCTGGAGCACCCCCTTGTGCTGAAGACGGCCAGCGATTTTGGGCATGTCCCTCGTGGAGAATTGCTTGGTGGTGACACAGGAAGGGAAGGCTCCCTGGGACCCTAGACACCCAGCTCATCTCAGAGGCGTCTGGACTCACCATCCCTAAAACAGTCCCCGCAGTTCCCTGCCACCTCCCCACAATCCCTCTGCACCCACCCTGCCTCCCTTCCTGTTCCTCCATGACACACTAACTTGTTTCCCACCCCCAAGCATCTGTGCAGGCTGTTCCCTCTGCCATACTGTTCCAGTTCCACTTGATCTAAACAAATAAAGGTGCCCCCTCTGGGCCCTCGCTAGCTCCTTACCCTTCGTTCTCCGCCCACTCCCAGGAGCGTTTATTCCTCTGTTACTGTCCCCAAGGCTGTGAGTTCCCTGGGGGCAAAGGCCAGGCTTGGCACACGGTAGGGGCTCACTTAATACTGCAGGATGATGGAATAAACAGGCACAGAGGAGACTCACTGGAGGGGAGTGCAGTCTTTATGCCTCTGACACACCGCACTGCACTTGCCTGTGGCCTGCTTCCTGGAGACTCACAGTTGCCCTTCCATTCCATTCCCCATGGCAGTCCTGGGAGGATCTTTCCAACCCCAGATATGAGGTCCCTCTCCAGCTCAAACACCTCCCATGGCTCCCCAGTGCCTCAGAATACATACAGGTCTCTTCCAAAGTCTCCTCAGTCTCCAACCCCATGTCATTTATCCCTGGAGGTACTTTCCGGCCTCTACGCCTTTGCCCAAGTTGGTTTTTACGCCGGAAACAGCCCCCTCTACTCTGGTTCAGACTCCTATTCATCCTGCAACACCTCAGCTTTAACACCCCTTCTCTGCATTTGCACTGCCCAAATGAGCTGGGAGTGTCTGTGTTCACATCTATCCTCCCAGCCGACCCCACCATGTTCAAACGGCTGAATATCCCCCTGCCCCCGCTCGCCAAGGCTACAATCTCTTCGAGCGCCTTTCCTCCTCTTTCCAACCGGTTTCCCGGCCAGGCCTGGCCCTGACTTTCCGGGTGATGCTCCCGGATGCGGCCGGGAGGTGGCGCAGCGCCGCGCAAACGGCGGTGGTCGCAGACGCGGAAGCGCTCCAGGCCTTGACGCCGCCGGAAGTGCTCCTGCCCTGAACGGCGCTGCAGGTCCAAGGGGGCGGCCAGTAACACGGTGACCCAAAGGAGTCAGGAACAGACATCCCCATGCGCAGGCCCAGGCTGGGGCGGAAGGGGACGCGATGCAGGAAGGGCCTCCCAGCGAACAGTAGCAAGGCTGACGCCAAGCTGAGGGCCCAGGCCTCCCAGCCGAGGGGGTCTCCTCCGTGGGAGGCGTCCTGCAGCTGCCCTGGTGACAAGTCCCCTGCGACCCCTCTACCCAGGGCCCTCTGTGGTCCCAGGCACTCCTCCCACCAGCCCCCGGCGTCACCACCACGGAGCCATGTGCATGGGGTGTAATCACTTTATTGGTTTTCGGAGAGCAATAGAGGGGATTAATACCTAATCTTTCCAAGTTAAAAGACTAAGACTGTTTCCAAAAGACTCCAAATAAGAAACTTCTCCTCAAAGTACAAGGATAATCTGAATCATCTTAAACCAGCAATAAAAAAGTAAAATATAAATTTTTATTTAGAATTAAAGCAAATACTTCAGTATCACAAACACAATATTAAACTTCAAGAAATATACGCTAATTTGGAGTGAGCATTTATTTGCACAATTACAACATGCGGACAAACCCAGGCGAGATGAGCGAGTCTACGGTTTCCACCCACCCGGCTGACAAGGGGTGGCCCCAGGGGCCGGATGCCCAGCCCCCAGGCGGCCCTACTCCTCCTCCTCTCCCGAAGACTCTCTCTCGAACGTGTAGGCCATGAAGCAAGCGTCGGGTCTCTTGGGGACAAGGGGATGCCCCGGTCTCACAATCTCAAAGCCCAAAAAGCTGAAGGTTCGGAGCAAGGCGGCTGTGGGGGAGAAGCCGTCAGAAACCCCACCGCCCAGGAGCCCCCACCCGCCCCCCGCACCCCCGCCGGGAGACCACGCCTGCGGGCTGAAAATGAAGGTGCATGGCAGGTGCCCCCACACACCCTGCTGCAGGCGATGCGAGTCACCTACCTCTGTCCTCGCGGTTCTTGTGGAAGCAAATGAAGACATGGTCGGCTCGCAGCTGCTCCTCAGCGAATTCCAGGAGAACTGCAAAGCTGCAGCGCGTGTCAGTGTCTTGGCTAGCCCGATCCGCCCACCTACCTCCTGGGCCTTAGCAGCTACCCTGAAGCCCGCTCTACTCCAGGGTCCCCCTGGGGCCCAGATCGTTCTCTGGGTGGGGCCGTCCTGACACCGCAGTGGTGAGCAGCACCGCTGCACCCACCCACGTGCATGCCCCGGGACAGAAAGGCTGTCAGACACTGCCCGGCATCCCCTGGAGGGTGGAATCCCAGGGTACAAACTTGGAACGCGCTTTTTAAAAAGAGACCCCAGAACGGGCGCGGTGGCTCACGCCTGTAATCCCAGCACTTCGGGAGGCCGAGGTGGGCGGATCAAGGGGTCAGGAGTTTTGAGACCAGCCTGGCCAACACAGCGAAACCTCGTCTCTACTAAAAACACAAAAATTAGCTGAGCATGGGTGGCGGACGCCTGTAATCCCAGCTACTCGGGAGGTTGAGGCAGGAAAATCACTCGAACCCGGAAGGCGGAAGTTACAGTGAGCCCAGATCATGCCATTGCACTCCAGCCTGGGCGACAAGAGCAAGACTCTCTCTCAAAAAAAAAAAAGGGGGGGCCCATCCCAACCCATACAGCGATGGTGGCCCCCATATTTGCTGCCTGAAGGCAGTGCCCTCCCTCATCTGTCCCCGTCCCCCTGGGTAAGCACCCCCCCCCCCGTCCCCGCCCTCACCTGTCCTTGCTCCCCTCAGGCAGCGCGCCGCCCGGGATCTCGATGTAGAGGCTGCCTCCACTCAGCACTGTTCGCCAATTAATGCGTTTGGCGTCTGTGAGCCTGGACTGGACGTTGAGAATCCTCGTCTTGTCGTTGGACGTTAGTTCCTCTGTTACATTCAGCCGATCATCCTGTCCGGGGTACGGTGCAGCGTAATTCAGAACCCCGACACACCCCACGGGCAAGAGACCGGCAGCGCTAAGGCTTGGGCCTAAGCCGTGTTCAGCTCAAGCAAGGCCTGGGCTGCAGGAGACTCTGCGCCCTCTCTGATGAAACTCAGAAGGGTTCCCAGGATTAAATTCAATCACAGGTACCGGCAGCGAAGTGCACAACAAGTGCCAGCGGCCCCAGAGCAGCCCCAGCCCCGCCCACCCCAGCGCCGTACTCACGGAGTAGAATAAGTTAGCTGAAAGATTGTGATCCCTCTGACTATTCCCTCGCCCACCTGGGATCTTCAGGGGTGGGTGAGGGGCATCAGGAGCACCACCGAGGCCCCGGACCCGGGTTACTACAGCAGCGGAGGGAGACCCTGGAACTGAAGGCAGATGCGATCACCAGGGAGCGCCAGGTTCCCGGAGGAGACCCCTCCAGGGCGCCCGGACGGTCTTCGGCCGCCCACCCCTGCCCCGGCCAGAAGACCCCGCCCCGCCCAGGCTGGGGCCCACCCGGCCCCACACCCCCGGGGCTTCCCCAGGGCAGCTCCAACGCCTGCCCCAAGCACCTACAACGGCATCGATCACTGAGCCACGTCGTCTCGGGCGGCGCCGCCCGGGATAGCCCAACCCTCCCAGGGCGGGGGGAGGGTCCCTTCCCCTCACGTAGCCCCGCCGGGACAGAGCCTCACCCCCCCCGCCACCGCGCCAGCCGGCGCTTCCCCTTTTCAGCTCGGCCGCGGCTTCCCCTTTCCACCCTGCACTGCGGTCAGAATCTGGAACCCTTGCTTGTCCCCGCGAGGAGGGGGGGGGCCTGGCCTGACCTCGCGGAGGACGCGCCCCGCTACTGCTCCTGGCCGCCCCCCGCCCGCCCCCGCTCCGGGCCCGGGCCCTCCCGGTTGCGTCATCTAGGCAGACGCGGCCCCGCGCCCCGGGGGAGATTTTCACAATCGCGCAGCCGGCAGCGCCAGCAGCCATTTGCTGCGCGGTGTAAACAGGCCCCAAAGTTGCCTCCATTTTGCACGGCCCCCAAACCGTAGCACCGCGGCCCAACTTCCCGATTCCCGGGACTCAGCGACGCCCACCTCGGGAGACGCACTCGTGGAAGCTCGACCGAAACCCCGCGGGCTCCCCCACAATCGCAGCTGGCACCCGCGTCCCCTGAAGCGGCACGCGTCGTCCCGGGAGGCGGCGGGGGACTTCCCAGGGCGCTGTCGGGTTGTCCGAATGCGCGACCCCCGGCTCCCCGACGGCCCCCGCGGAGAACAACTGGGTGCCGTCCACGTCCGCGGCCTCGCCCCGCGCGTCCCCGGCCATCCAGACCGACTCGCTCTGGGGCGAAAAACGGGGCCCACGAAGTCGGTTGCGTGCGGGGGCCACATCGAGGCGCAGGAGACCCACGGGAGCTCGTCCGCCGCGAAGCGCTCCCCGCTCCGCCAGCGCACGCTCAACGGCCGGGACCGAAAAGTGCAGATTCACCGGCCCTGCGGGCCCTGCCTGGCCTCGGACCAGCCCAAGGCTGACCCCGCCCCAACCAGATTGCCCCATCCTGCGCCTCCCAAATCCGTCCAGCTTGCACACCCCTTCTCCAAACCGAATTTCCAGTCTGCGTCCCCCAAATCCAACTCTCTCCCCTCCTCCAAAGCCGAGTCCCATCCTGCGAACCCCAAAAAACACACACGCCTCCCCCACATTCCCCGTCCTGCGCCCAAATCCCACCTCCGACTCATGCCCCACCCCCACATCAGGCGCCCCGGACGGCGCCCCTCAAATCCAACTCCGCACCCGTGACCCCCAAACCCGACCCAAGAGCGCTGCCAAGGCCGGGGGAACCTCCAGGCCCCTACCTCGTCCCCGGCACGACTCTGGCTTTGACAAAGGGGCGGATCTCGCGCGCCGGGGACCTATCTGGCGCCCCGAGGACGGCCCCCCGCGGGCCTGCGCGGCCGGCGCTTCTGGAAGCTTCGGACGGGGGCGGGGCGCTCACCTCTCACTGCTGCTGCCTCCGCGGCTGTGCAGGCTTAGAAGCGGCATGGTGCGGCTGGCGTGGATGGTGGCGCTGGGTTTATCCCTTTCCTTCTCTCTGGCGAAGCAGTGGCTATTGAGGATCCGCTGCAGGGAGGATTTCACCATCCGGCCGCTGGGGTCCGAAACCAGGAAAACCTCCGCTGCGCCTCTCCGCGCCGCCGCCGCTGCTCGCCGTTCGCAAAATGGCGCTGCTGCCGCCGCCCGCCTTTATAGACGCCGCGCCCGGGCCACGCCCCCCGCACCGCCGGGAACGCGGCCGCACGAGAGGCAGAGCCGCGGGGCCGCCGGGAAAAACAGTCACGCCCGCCCCTTCCAGCGTCTGATTGGTGGAAGGTAAAGGAAAACGGAGAGACGCTCTGGAGATTGGTTGCTGAGCCTCGGGCCACGCCCCCTCCCGCGCGCGTCCTTCTGCGGGCGCCCGGGGGCGGGGCTGCCACAGCGCCGGGTACGCGCTGCGCTCGCCCTGAGCCGTCCCCGCCCCCACAACCGTGCCTTGGGGCGTGGGCGGCTCGCTGGGGCCGATTTTCGGGGGTCTCCGAGTGCCCGTTTGTCTGTCGTGGTGCACGTCGCCCTCCCTAGGGTCCCTTCACGCAGCGGGACCCCTCCCCTGGGTAGGCCCCCGTGTATTGGGAGGGGTGTCCAAACGCGCCCAACCTCCCATAGGACAAAATTATTTCCAGTAACTGCTGGTAATCATCGCTAATACTGGTTTTATTTTTTTTTAATTTGGTCTTGCAGTTCTTAAAATGCTTCCAGTGTTTTTTAAAAAAAGAACTTCCAATGTTAAAGATATTCAAATTTAGTAAAATATTTCGTGTACAATTTGGACTTAAGCAAAAATTTTACTCCTTGCAGATACATTCAGATTTTTCCTGTGGAAACTAACACTTACCCTAAGGAAAAACACTACTCCTGGCAGTTAAAATTCAGAAACACATTTCATGTATGAACTAAAATGTGGATCTCCCAAGGAAAAAACGATTTCTTTGGTGGTTAAGTTCGGTAAACTGTTTCGCCTGTTGAGTTAAAATGTGGACTTATCCAGCAAAAATATTTCCCCTCCTGGTTAAACCCAGAAAAAAAATATCAGGTATGAACTGCAGTTTGCGTTAAGTAAGCAAAGATAGAACTCTTGGCAGTTACATACTGGTACATAGGTTGTGTGTAGACTATGAATTTCGCAAAAAGTTGCCACTTTGCAGTGAGGTTTAATAAAATATTTTATATTTCGTGTATAAACTAAATTTTGTTCTTACCAAGCAAAAATGCTACTTCTGGCAAATCCCGATTTCGTTCATGGTTTTAATTTTGTTTTGTTTGCAACCGGCCTGGCTCTCACACAGGCTGGAGTGCAGTGGTGCAATCTTGGCTCGCTGCAACTTCCGCCTTCCGGGTTCAAGCGATTCTCCTGCCTCAGGCTCCCAACTAGTTGGGATTACAGGTGCCCGCCACCACGCCTGGCTAATTTTTGTATTTTCAGTAGAGATGGGGTTTCACCAT